CAGAATTAAACACATTATGAATTCCAATTATTCTTATGCCTGCTTTAACATCAGCAATAAAAGTATTTGCTTTAATCGTTAGTTCTGAATTACTTTCTAGTGTTTTCTTGGTTATAAACTTATTTATTTTCCGGGATACTATTCTATGAGCTTTCTTGAATTTACAAAGCCAGTTATCCGAAGCTTTGAATCTTACATCTTCTGATCCTATAATCTTTTGAGCTTGCAATGCCCATCGACGTATGTCACGATCATGAATGATGTAACCAGCGTCTACTGCTGCTTTAAAATTATCAAAAGTGTACTGACAAATTCTTGCAATTTTTTCTCTATAAGTACCACCTTCGTTGACTGTATGAGCCCAACGTTTCAACAGACTCACAGATGAAACTTTCTTAAATTTTTGACGTACACTTTCAACACTTAAATTTTTTTTTTTGCCACTTCTCCAGTATTCTACGGCTCTTTGCTTATATTCAAAACTGACATCTTCATTGTCTTTGGTACAATGGTCGGTGGGTGCTTCGAAATCGTCAGGAAAATGGTGTTGAACTTCATCTTCTACTATTTTTGCAGCATGATCTTTGTAATCTTCTTGAAAATCTAATGTATCTTCAACGATCATATCTACTTCATTGAAATCATTCACGGAATCTATTAAAATGCTTTTAATTCTTTCCGACAATTGAATCTCTTTATAATTTGTCTCACTTTCAGGTATTTGTAGAGTTTGAAAGTAAGCTAATAATAAATTTAAAACGTTCAGAGCGTTAATTTTCATTTTTTAATCAGAAATAAAAAAAAAATATATATATATATATCTTATATATCTTCTATTATATTAAACAGAAGGCGCGAAATTCTCCGTGCGTCCGTCCATCCATCCGTCCCCTTTTTTTCCTTATTTTTCCTCTGTATAGGTCTCTCCTGATATCGCTGGGGAATAAGAAATAAACTGAATAACAAATAAACAAATTAGGATAAAAACAAATAAATAAACAAATTGATAAGTAAACAATAATGATAAACAAACTTATAGAAAACATTCATGAAAAAAATTAATTAATAAATTAAAAAGTAAACATATTAATTAATAAACAATAATAATAAACAAATCAATAAGTAAACAATAATTATAAACATCATTAATTAATAAATCCTCATAATCAGTGTAATTTCAATTTTTTTAATAACAAATATTAAAAAGCCGTAAAATTATTTGCATATAAAAAATAATTTTATAGTTATACTTACGTAGCAGGTACTACGAAATACGAATTAACGGAATAGTATCTTATTATTATTTGTACTTATAATCTTATATTCTTATTACTATTTATTATGCTCTTAGTTCAATAGTCGATACAATACGTCCAACAACAAGAAAGTTGTGTTGGCTACTGATGAAGAATTACTTACTCATATTTATCAATCATGAAAATAACAGACCATCGTCAGAGACGCTGATAGTAGGACGTAAATAAAATTCTGATAATACTATCATTCATATACCAAAATTTTTGCGCATCCGAGAAACTATACTTATCTTCTAGGTATACTTATAATATTATATTATTCTTGACTTGTTTTTTTATATAATAAAAGTTATTTATTTTTGATAGAATTAATAAACGATAGAACGTAAAAAATTTAAAAGAGAGCAACAAAATAGCTATGGAATCATAGCTTATTTGATTTAGAAGAGATTGCAACGATATGTCAGAAACTTTTTTTAGGATGGTTTTTCAACATTGAGGGTGGTTTTGAAAATAAGTTTGAACAGGTAAATTTTTTATTCTTATTCTATCCACGGTAATATTTTTTCCAATTTTTTTAAGCTCATTATGAACTTTTTTTCAAAAATAGGAATAAAGAAGGTACAAATTTCGATGACAGAAATTAGGGGTTGCAACCCTTGTGGTTGAAACTGCACGAGATAGTTGTGTTTGTACATTATAAATGATACGCAACGTATTTTACAGTAAATTATCAACACCACCTGTAATGTATTGGAAACAATTTTTTGGGGGTGGTTTTTCAACATAAGGGGTGGTTTTAAAAATAAAAGGTAAATTTTTTTTCTTATTCTATCCACGGTAATATTTTTACTAATTTTTTCAAGCTCATTATGAACTTTTTTTCAAAAATAGGTACAAAGAAGGTAAAAATTTCGATGACAGAAATTAGGGGTTGCAACCCTTGTGGTCGAAACTGCACGAGATAGTTGTGTTTGTAAAGTATAAATGATGCTTAACGTATTTTACACTAAATTATCAACACCACCTGTAATGTATTGAAAACAATTTTTTAGGGGTGGTTTTTCAACTTTAAAGGGGTAGTTTCAAAAAAAACCTTGACTAGATTAACTTTATTTTTGTATTTTATGTAGGGTAATATTTTTTCCAATTTTTTTCGGGTTATTTTAATTTTTTTCATAAAAATAGCCATGAAATAGATAGTATTTTAAATAAAAAAAATAAGGGTTGCATACCTTGTGGTCGGAATGTGCTAGTTTGCTTTTCACATGAGAAGTGATATGAAATTTGTTTGGTCGTAAAATATCAATTAGATGCTGAGATACATTGGAAAATCTATTTTTGGGGGTGAACTTTGAGGGTTGTTTTCACCCCCTCAAAGTGTTTTTCCGCCGATAAAAAAAAAATACGTATGTCTTATTTTTTGATGAACTATAACATATCAAAAGATTATTGAAATCGGTGAGGTCGGGTCGGGGGGGTTTCCTTGTGAGTTCGAATCTACTGACAAAATTTAGATTTTCTCAAATCTAAAATGGCATTGCCATTAAACTTTCAACCTTTAAGTGAGAGGCAAGGGGACTCACGCTAATCAAGCACCCCAAAGGAAACAGATCTTACTACGTCCACGTCGTTGTTTCTGGGTAACGCAAAGAGTAAGAATAAGGACGATAGTAAGGTCATAATTTTAAAAAATGCTGTCTGAATGAAAAATTTCCCCCTCTATCGATTCCTGGTACTAAAACTGGGATTTCCAATCAAAAAAACTAGTTGATCTTGAAATGACCTTAAATGTCAAGTGGAGATTGAACCGTTGTGGGTAAATGACCTTGGAGTAAACCCCAATGTCAAACTTTTTCTGCGACCTAAGTACATACCTGAGCGTAAAATTTCCCGCTCTATAGATTTTCGGTGTCAAAAATAAGGGTTCCTATTAAAAAAAAAAGTTAACCTTCAAATAACCTGTAAGGTCAAGTCCAAGGTCAAATTGAAGGTCACAATTGGATTCCTTTTTCGACACATCGATACGTAAAACTTTGGGCTCCTTTCGAATCCGCTATCAAAAACAGGGGTTTCCATTAGAAAAAATGAGGTTGACCTTCAAATGACCTTAACAATGAGGTTCAAGGTCAAATTCGAAGTCACCGTTGAGTTCCTCGTTAAGACTTACCAATGGTATGACCTTTATTTGTTTTTTTACCTCTGAACTCGCGAAATTTTTAAGAATTCATTATTTCACCTCTATTTGACCTCTAGGAGTAACCTCAACCTCATACCTCAATAAATATTTGGACGTTAAATTTTTGGCTTCTTTGGAATCCGGTATCAAAAATAAGTTCTTTTGTTAGAAGAAATGAGGTTGACCTTCAGATGACCTTGAAAATGAGGTTCAAGATCAAATCCAAGGTCACCGTTGGGTTCCTCGTTAAGACTTACCTAAGGTATGACCTTTGTTTGTTTTTTGTTACCTCTGGACTCGCGAGATTCTTAAAATATCATTATTTGACGTCTATTTGACCTCTAGGGGTTAAACCTCAACCTCAACCTCAAACCTCAATACATATCCTGACGTAAAATTTCCCGCTCTTTCCGATTCCGCAATAAAAAATAGGGGTTCCTATTTAAAAAAATGAGGTTGACCTCAAAATAACCTCAAAATTGATGTTCAAGGTCAAATCCAAGGTCACCATCGGATTCCTTGTTCAAAGTTACTGTAGGAATGACCTTGACCTTTTTAAGAACTGAAGTACTTCAGAAAATATTCAGGCGTCCCGGGACTTAATTGACACCCTGTATAATCTAAAAATACAAATAAGAGAACCTCAGAGAGGTGCGCACGAGCTTAATATATAAACTTAATTAACGCAGTGGGAGGGGGGCATATTTACAGTTTAGATTGGAGGGAGAGATTAGGAGCGAACGCAGAGACGTTGTACGGGCGTGAAATATGGGGTAGGTAAGCGAGGGAGGCCGTACCTGTCATTTGCTCCTGTGCAACCCGGATAGCGAATCTGTCAATTTCAAGGAGGAAAAGAAGATCAAATAACCAGTATTTGAATTCAGTGAGTCGTTCCAAGGAAAAAGTGGTCACTGCAAGTTGGTTTAGGAGATCCATACCTTTAATTGCGAATGATCTCTTCCAGGACTCAGTACATGGAGCACGAAAGTGGAAGGCCGCTGGTATATTGCGAATAGAGCGGCGGGCGATAGTAAGTTGGTTCAGTAGTGATATGTGGCCAGTCAGATACGACGGGCCATTGTTACAAACGACCTTATAAAATAGTTTTGCGAGGGTTAGTTGACGTGTCGATGAGAGTGTGAGCCAACGTAGTTTCAGGCGGTGGAACGTAACATGAGAGGTGAGGTTATTATTTGGTAGGAATGGGATGTTACCAGAGATGAATCGGACACAGGCATTTTGCGCCACCTGGAGGTCACGAGTACGTGTCTTGTCAAGATCCATGAATACGGTGGACGAGAAGTTTAGCAGTGGGAGTACCAGTGACTCAACCAAAGTCTTGCGGAGAGCGAGCGACAAAGAACGGCGATAGAACTTAAGAGAGCTGAGAGAGCCGTAAACCTTCCTCACAACGTCTGAGGTGTGTGACTTCCATTGGAGAGTAGGAGAGAGGGTGACCCCAAGGCTCTTTGCCGCCATCACGAAGGGGATCATATGACCATTGACGGTGATGCGGGGCAAGATGGTGAGGTCAAGGGCAGTCACATACAATTCGCTGCCCAAGATCATAGCCTTCGTATTAGCAAGGTTGAGATCAAGGCCATTGCCCAAGGCCCAATCAGCCACCGCTTGTGCATCTCGCTGGCCTCCACGATGCCACGCTCAATGTCCCGCGGGGAACAATGCACATATATTTGCGTGTCATCCGCATAGATGATGGTGAGAAGCCTATTTTCGGTAGCAAACCGAACATCGTCGAGAAGACCAAGGAGCGCGGTCTCGGTAGAATGTCCCCTTCTAAATCCGGCTTGGCGGAAGTCGAGCAGGTGATGCTGCTGAAGGTAGGCTGACAATTGACGATGGACGAGGCGCTCGAAGAGCTTCGAGGGCTCACATAGCTTAGCAATAGGTCGTGTATCCGAAAGGGAGGTAAGAGATTTCACTTTGGAGAGCGGGACAATTTGTGTGCGCTTCCAGAGCGTGGGGAAAAGTGAGTTAGCAATTGAGTGATTAAAAAGCGTGGTGTAGTACGGAAGGACAGTTTGCGAAACCATCGAGAGCATTCTCAGCGAGATCTCGTCCTCTCCTTTTGACTTTGAGTGGGCATCCGCGAGAACATCCTCCACGTCCTTGACTGACACCGGGTTTAGATTGAATTGGGGAAATGAGAATGAGCGAGAGAGTGGTATCGATGTGAGATTGTCGTAGCAGGAAAGAGTAATAGGCGGAAGCTGGTTAACGATTTTGGCAAAGTGACAGTTTAACGCTGTGGGTGAGAAAAATGATAGTGGAGACGGCATGGATTTTTGTGCAATGCCGAGACAGCGAAGCTCTCTCCATTTGGTCTTGGGATCTGTGGCAGATGCAAGTTTGGCCGAGATGTGGTTATTTTTTGCAGTGTCAAGCAGGTTTGAAACACGGTTTCGAAGGTCTTTGTACCTCCGAATGTCACCTGGAAGCGCAGTTATTTTTGCTCGCTTGTACGCCGCCGTGCGAGCACGCATGAGGATGCGAATGTCAGCTGATACCCACGGCTTAGCCTTGGCAGACAGTTTTGTCTGGCGAACCGGGGCAAGGGTGTCGAAGGCTTTCAGCACGGCGTTTGAGAGGAAGCGTTCGAGTGAATCCAGGGACATTTGAGTTGGGTCAGTAAGAGTAGTCTGCGGTGATGGATACTGTACGGCAACGCTCTCGGCAACCAGTAAATTTAGCTGTACTATGTCAACACTTTTCAGTTTGCGAATGAGGATGGTTTTCGTGGCTGAGGGGGGAACCGTGGAGTAGATAGAAAGCTCGATAAGGTCGTGACAGTCAATAAATGGGGCCGGCGTTTTTGAAAAGGAGTGGATATCTGTGTCATTTTTATTTAAGAAGAGGTCCAGAAGAGTGTGAGAAGCATGACCATCCTGGAATCGATGACAAGTAGGCAGCATGGAGACGACTTTTAAGGCGTAGCGCTCGATTTGTTCTCGGAGCACGTTGACGTAGTGTAGTGTGTGCGATAAGAGATTGCAGTTGAAATCCCCACAAATTATCACGTCATGATAATTTGGGAGAAGAGGGACAATGGTTTGGAAAAAATTCAGTGGAGCCAACGCAGACGGGCGACGATAGACTACAGCAAGTAGAAGTTTTGCATGTTGTTGTCGTAATTCCATCACCAAAAATTCTGACGCATTGTAGTCATCAGGATGCGATTTGGCAATTATGCGAACGAAGAAGCTGTCACGAATGTAGAGAGCAACACCACCACCTTCCATGGCTGAGCGATCATGTCGGAATAGGTTGAATCCAGAGAAAGAAAGGTGAGAGTCAGCCACAGTATCCTTTAGGAACGTTTCTGTGATGGCAACAGCGTCATAGTGTGAGTGGGATACTCTGTCCTCAAGAAGGGCGAAATAGCCGCCGTGGTTCAGGCGGTTCACATTTGCATGTGCTACACAGAAAATGGGAGGGGGGCAACAATTGGGGGCTGTATTGACCCTGAGGGTCAATCAATGGTAGGTGGATTTCCCATAGTGCATTCAGTGGGAAGGGATGCATCATCTGCGATGTGGGAAGGTTGACGGTAGTTCGTCCCACTTGAGAGTGAAGGCTCCGCCGTATCCATTGCCAGTGAAGACATTCGAGGGGCAGCATCGGGACTGATGCTCGGATGATTTAGAAGTGGGGGTTGGCCAGTATGAGAATTGGAGGATGCTGTAACAGCGGATGAGGGATGAGCGGGCAGAACGGGGAGCAGATGCGGACCAGAGTTTTGCGCCGTTTTCCGGCCACGGTTTTTCTGCAAGCATTTTTGTTGGTGCGTGGCTTGCAGGTGCGGTAGCTGGGGCTGTTGGAGTGGCTGATGCTGGGGTTGGGCATGGAACGTTTGGGGCTGGTGATATATTGGAGAGAGAGAGAGAGAGAGAGAAAGAGAGAGAGCGCACGTTTACTACTACTATAGTAGCGCATCCCCATCAGGCCAGAACTATAGACAGCATGCGCTCCCTCTCCTCCGCACGCTCAGGCCAAAACCAAATGTATAAAGCATAGCTGATCTCTTTTCTCTCTCTCTTTTTAAACAGATTTAAGTGAAAATGGCTAGGATAGCGGGCAAGGATTAGCGGGGATTATATTTAAGCAAGTATAGCTGTCCTCCACGGAGAGAATTAAAATATATCTCCTCTATGAGAGAATGGCCTCAAGCCACGCTAAACTAAAGCGTAAGAGAGAGAGAGAGTGAGAGTAAAAGCATACATTTACTACTATAGCAGCGCATCCCAAGGTAGAACTTTGGTAGCGTATAGACAGCATACGCTCCCCTCCGTGCACCGTAGTCCACACTTAGCTAGAGCATAGGAGAGAGAGCGAGAGAGAGAGAGAGAGAGCACACGTTTACTATTACTATAGCAGCGCATCCCCAAGACAAAACTATAGACAGCATGCGCTCCCCTCCTCCTCCGCACGCTGTGGTCCACGCTGAGCCAGAGCTAGAGAAAGAGCACACATTTACTACTATCAGCGCATCCTCAAGTTAGAACTATAGACAGCATGCACTCCCCCTCCTCCGCACGCTCAGGCCCAAAACCAAACGTATGCGTGTGTAGCTAATATACACGATATGCATCCTCTAAGGTACTTGTGGTATTGGCTCTAGTGGTAGAGCGCTAGCCTGCCAACCCAGAGGACTCCGGTTCTATTCTCCAGTCTGTCTCTTCATTTTTTTCAAAAATCATCACTACTTTCTACTCGTTTCATTTTCAATAAAGCAAGTAAATTGTCAATAATATATTGTAACAGGCTATCGTTTAGTCGATAATCTCCTAATAGTGCCCGTATTTCAACTATACGAAGCCTTGTTATCTATGCGCTTGATGCGCATTAACCTACCTTACCTCGGAGTGCGCCTGCGCAGAGTCTCTTCAAAGTTCCGAATTGGGTTCCCCCAACTCGCCACTTGACGGCGCTGTCGCTCTTGCTAGTAGCGCTCGTGCGGCCGCCGCTGGAACTCAAGTCGTCGGTTCGCCTCTACCTATATTAGCGAGCTCCGTGCTACGCTACCGGCGAATTCGAACGAAATGTAAACAAGGCTGGGCGCGACCTCCGGACAAAGGATTAAACACAATAACGGAAACTCGTTTAAATGGAAAACCACGAATGATTTATTTAATAAAATCAATTACACGGAGGGTATGCCGAGAGTCTCACGCACGCACGCGTGAATGACAACACGCTAATCGAGAGAGAGAGAAAGAAAACCGCGATTATCGCGAACTACCTACTCGCTCGCAACAACAAATTCTTCGCGCTCGCTGCGCGGATTCGCACGCCAAATTGTTACAACAATTAGAAAGGGGAAGGTGCACCTACCGCGATACCGCTGAGGATACGGTGGCCAACCGTATCCAAATGACAAGTGGCTGAGACGCCGCTTCGCTTGTCGCTGCACCGCCTCGATCGCTGTTGTTGTTGTTGTCGCTACTGCTGTTGCTGCTGTTGTTGCTATTGCTACTGTTGATGCTGCTGCTGCTGCAGTTGCTGCTACCAACGCACCCACGCACTCAGTACCGCAATATCACCGGCAACAACGAAAGTTCGGAAGGCACGGTAACAGGTTATGCGCACGGACTGACTGAGTAGCACAGTCATACTGCCGGTTGCTACCTCCCCTCCCGGTCAATGCCCCTTACGCGCTCTCTCTCTCGCGAACCGAGCGCGGCTACTTACATTTAGCCGCTCGTTAACCTCGCGCGAGTCACACGATTTTCGGCAATCGTTGCAGCCCCCTCCTAGCTTCGAACTACCGGATCGAACTACCCTATTGACTCGCGACCCAAGGATAGGATGGGGAAAGGAGAGAAACCAACACATCCTATTCTCAAAAAATACGCTTTATTGGGCCATCCCGGACCACCGATGCCCCCCCGTCACTTGCCGGAGCCCCCTGGCGCCTTATGCCTGGGGTAGCGCCAGTGCTCCGCCTTGTTGGGGCACTTTGATGTTGTGGTGATGCCGGGGTGGCCGCAAATGTAGCAGCCCCGGCTCGGTCTCCTGGCGAGGCCGGGCTCCGCCCCGTGGCCCTGGCTTCCGGACGGTTGTTGGGGCGGCGTGGCTGCTGACGCCGGGGCGGCGATGAAGGTAACGCCGCCCACCGTGGCGGATGTGCGTCCCCCTACGGTTCGCACCACCACGGTCGGGTCGGAAACCGACCCGTCCACGCGGACCACAAATTCCTGCCCGGCTCCGGGGGCCCCCGAGACCCTCTTGGGTTGGGTCTTGGTCGGGGGCTTGGCTGAAGTCCTGGCCGCATCCCTGTTCGATGGGGCCGCCGGTGGCAACACTGCCGGCGGGCCCGCGGCCTCAGGGGACTCCAGCCCCCGGTCGATGCGCATGAGGGCCTCTCCATAGGCCCTCTGCCGCCGGATTACAGGGGCCCACTCCCCCAGCATTTCCTGGGCGCCTCGGAAATCGAGGAACTCCTCCAGGTGGGCGTGCACCTGGCGCTGGAGTTCCCCGACAAACTCCCAGGCGTTCTCGAGTTCCTGGAGGCCTAACCTCACGTGCCTCCAGGTATTCTCGAGACCCACCTGCTGGGGGACTCGTGGGTGTGTGCAGACCCAGTGCTGCTGGCCGCAGGCCTCCCTTGGTCCGGGGCACTGGGTCGAGCTCTCTACCGTGGTTGCGCTCGACCCTGGGGTCTGCACACCTTGGTCCCGCGTGGACTGAGACCGACGGCCCTCTTCGGATGGACCGTCGGTCTGGGTGGATGCTTCCCGGGTCGAGGGTCTGGAGGTTTGGGCCCTCAGACCTTCCCGGAGGAAGTCATCCACCCGCTGGCGCGAGCGGCCCTCGCGAGCGGCCGTCTCGACCTGGGCCCGGACAAATCTTCTTAAATCGCCGATCAGGCGATCGGCGCCCGGACCCAATCCCAGGTCGAGCAGCAGCTGGGTGGCCGTCTCGAGGGCCTCCTCACTGATGACCAGCTTCCTCTCCATCTGCAAAAGAGAAGAAGTGGGGTCAAGGGATTTCTCAGGCTCAGCCCTTAACCTACCCGTCGCCGTGTAACGCTCGACGCTATTCTTTACGAGGACGTCCCGGTCCCCGGCTCTTTCCTCGTGAACATGGCCCATTTGCGGGGGTAGCTGGCAGCACCACCTTCCGCACGTGCTGAGCGGTTCTACGTGGTCTGCCCCTTCCCCTTACCGCATTGCCATCCAGGTCGTCTCCACCTGGTTCTCGAGGTTCGCCCGTGGGGTTTTTGCGCGGCCTTCCTCGGCCCCGCTTAACCGGCGCCTCGATCGGTACTTCAGGAGCCTCCGCGGGCTTCTCACGCTCGTTCGAGGGGGCTGCATTCGCGACGCGCTCGCATATCGGATCCTCGCTGGATTCCTCGATCTTCGCTGGCGGGTCGCCTACGCCCTCCTCTTCGTCCAACGGTGCTGAGTCCCCGCCTCCTGGCTCCTCGTTGTCCTCATCCGAAAAGGGGCCGAGATAGGGCTTGAGGTCCTTGGCGTGGATTAGCTCGGGCAACTCTTCCTGCTGGTTACCTAGGCGGTAGGTATTCGTGCCACATACCTCCTGAATTACATAGGGACCAGCATACTTCGGCGCCAACTTCGCCGAAACGCCCTGAGCTGCGGAAGACAGGATGCGGTTCCGCTTCCACACCCAGTCCCCAACCCTAAAGTCGGCCTGACGTCTCTTCCGGTTGTAATAGACCGCCTGACGGTCCGCCTGCTCCCTAGACTTAGAGCCAGCGCGTTCCCATAAGTTGGGCAACCGGCGCATGTGCTCACCCCATTCGATCTGTTCTTGGCCCTCGGAAGCTTCCCGAGCCAACTGATCCTGGGCCCTCTTGAAGGTCGAGGGGGGAGTGGGCTGTCTACCGAAGACCAGCATGGCCGGGCTGTATCCTGTCGCGCTGTGAGTTGCCGAGTTCAACGCGAAGTTGAACTCTGGCAGGTGCTCATCCCAGCTCTTATGGTCACGCTCCACGTACGACATGAGCATGACCTTGAGGGTTCTGTTCACTCGCTCGGTTGGGTTCGCCTGCGGGTGGTAAACTGGGGTCAGGGCGCGTCGGATGCCATTTTTCATCAAATAGGCATCGACCTCTTGATTTTTAAATTCGGTCCCGTTGTCCGAAAGAAAAATCTCGGGCGCGCCGAACCTGGTTACCACCCTCTCGTGCAATTCCCGTACGATGGTCCTTCCGTTGGCCTTGCGTACGGGTACACATTCCACCCACCGAGTGAACAGGTCTATGAATACCAAGATA